ATTAGTATAGCATAAAATCTTAGCTAATATTCTATATTTTAATAGTATATAAGTTTTAAGCTCTTAATTTTATATGTCAATATTTAAAAAAAAACTAAAATTCCCCTAGTGTGACATGTGACACATTTTCTGTGTATCTTCTCTATTTTGTCCACCACCCCTCCAGTAAGTACAAAATTAAACATAAATTACTCAATATAAAAACGTCATTGCTCATAATTTTTATAGCCTTCAATTTTGTTTGGTTACATAGCTCTAAAATAGAAAATCATACCACTCTTGCCATATTCACGTGTCACATTCTCTTTTTCAGGATTTGTTAATAGTTCTCAATTACGTTTAATTCTACATTATTTTTAACCAATAGAAAGCTAAGCTTTTCATCTATCAAATGACATATTGTATAACATTGTTTTCTGAAAGGAGAAATGTCAATTTTACTTTTAATACAAGCTTCAATCTCATGGGAAAGGTAACGACTAGCTTGAATGAATTTGTAATGGCTCTTGTCGCATAGTTAGAAAGCTAGAAAAATTGTGAGAGTTAGGACGAAATTGTCTACTTTTGCATTTTACTAGTCTATGTTCTTTTGTGCATTATTTAATCAAATAAAAAATTTAGTGCATTACTACCATTAGTATAAAAAAAGTAAGGTTTAGTGTCATCAACAGTCAACAGCAAGAAAAAAGAAGATTCAGATAAGTACTTTATATCTTGTTTTTCTTGTTTATCCTTTATTTATTATTACAGAAGTAACTAAAATGTAAAAAAAGGGGTCTCTTTAGGTTAGTTAAGGTTAGGTTAAGTAAAATAAATAATAATATAATAAAAATATTTCATGAAGCACGCGCGTGAGCAGATCATGGGTAACGGTAATGTGATTCAATAGTGTAAAGTGACCTCCACATTCCCCAAGTGATTAACAACTTATAATGGTGTGAATAATAGTTAGACACAGCTCAAAGGGCAATAAAACACTAAAATGTGATTATAAATAGATGCATACTGTTATGAGTTTAAAGCAGCATAGGAAAAACAAATGCAGTTTCATGTTACAATTTGAAGTCATGTTACAATTTGAAAGAAAAACACCGTAAATTTAGATTTTTTTTTGGTGGTTACGAGGTCAGTCAAATTGACCAACATTGTATAGAGTTAGAGTAGAGAAAATAACAGATAAAATATATAGTTTTATTGAAAACAAACATTTGAAATGTATTTAGGAGAATTTAGAGAATACAGAAATCAAATCTGAGATTTTTGAGATGAAGAAAAGTATTTTTTAATTTGAACATGAAAATCACTTAGCACATGGACTATTCAAACAAATACTTAATATATTCATGGACAAACCTTTATTAAAAATATTTCATTAAAAAAACTGATTTTTTGTGTATAAAATATGTGTAATGTGTACCAAGAGTCTGCCAAATTTTGTGAAGATACACACACTGTATTAAAAGTTATAGTATTAAAACTATATAGAAGTAAAAATGGTCCTATGGTCCATTCCTTGGACTGACCCTGTATTGAGAGAGTTAATTAATTGAGGACCATTGGATGCAGTAGTTGAAAGGTCACGGGTCAAAATAGAAAGTGGGTATAACTCAAGAAATGGCTCTTCATATCAATGTTATGGTGACTGTTGAAGTAGAAACTTCACCTGCATTTATGTAGTAATCTAATAATGGCAACAATATTTTTCATTGCATATCTCCATAGAGAGTACTAGCACACTCTCTGATATATATGACATTTGTTTGCTCTCCCCCACACTGTGTGTATGTTGTTTTATAGAAAATTTAATGAAGTTTTTTGTTTTTGTGTATGGATGTGGTGCCATCTACGAATATAGTTAAGTTAGCTTCCGATATGGTACATTATCTCTGCTCGCATAAATAGCTATTCTTGTTCAGTGCTGCTCTCTATATGCACAAAAAAGTTTTACGCATGCTACAAGCCTTTTATCTCCCCTCAGTTGGAAGTGTCTGATTCTAATGCGTCTCTCATGCAAATCATGATGTGACAACCCTCCACCAATAAGAGTGCGACGTACTCTTATGATGCATACGACTTTCTCTATTCAATTCTACTGAACTATCTCTTTTTGTTTGGCAGTACTCATGTTCAGACTTTATTTATTTTGGTGCTGTTTTGTGTGATTTGCATTTGTGACTAATCATTTAATTTCCAAAGTAGGATTTCTTCATTAATTTTTTCTTTACATTGAAGAAGTATTTTACTTTAATTTTATTCCCCCTTCTTTTATTTTTTTCTTACACTCACATTTGTACATCAAACACTTTTGTTTGATATATATTTCTACAATGAATTTTGAGGTTCACATTACCACTTCAAGTATCATACCTCCTATTGGCACTATTTCACAGGCTGTAGGTGGGGGAGACCCATTATTGGATTTATATGCAATTATCCACCATGCTATTGATTGTTATATGGGTCAATCTCCTCCTGAACTTGCCCCACTTCCTCCTGAGCAAGCTGAACCTGTTCAGGCTGATGAAGACTTTTATTGCATTTTTTTTCCACCACTGAATTTTGCCATGTCTTCCTGTGCCATACCTGTGGAATCAGCTAGACCTAATACCACATTTTTAGACGTGATTTCTTAGGTATGTGATGTTTTATCCATTTTCCTGATTCCTATGATCCCATCCTTCTTTGTTGCATGATTGTTCTTCCTCTCCATATTTGGTTTTTCCCACCCTCCCCAGATATTAGAGTTCCTGTTGAGCAGCTTGCTTCACAATTGGTTGAGGGTGCCAGCATGTCTCGCCCTCTATGAGCTACAGATCAGTTTGCATTAGCTTACCATCAGGTTGACTGTCCATTTCTCAACTCTCAACAGTGTGTGGGGGCAGTCTTTGATTTTCCTGTGCATTTAACCCATGCTTTTGGGGATGTGGTCTTCCATGGAAGCCCTTTTCCCATTAGGTCAGGCTCATGTGCATGCTCTTCATGAACAGTAGAATCTCACGAGGGATCCTTTGATGGCTCTTATTACTTTTCCTCCTACCCTGGTCGACGATCTGCATTGGTGGTTCGACAAGACTAGCACATAGTTGAGTGTCCCACTTCTTCCTCTTCATCCATATTTACACATTTTTACAGACACATCCCTTAAGGGGTGGGAGGCATGGGTCATTCAATAAGAAGCTTTGGGATATTGGTCTGTGGCCTAGAGGTCTTCTCACTGTAAGTCAGGCTTTGGTTCATTTTCTCCATCTGGTAATGATCAATTCCAACAATTCTGCAGTGGTTGCTTATCTCAATCACTAGGGCAGCATCTGTTCTTGATCCCTCTGTATTCATACATTGGATCTTCTTTTTTGGGGTCCACACACTATATATTCATATTATTGTGTGTCATGTTCTGAGTGCTTTCAATCTTGTCTCAGATTAACTTTCCCATCCAGACAAAGTCTATCTGGAGGAGTGGTCTCTCGATCTTCTTTTTTTCCAATGGCTTTGCCTTCAGTGGGGTACTCCTCACATCGATGCTTTTACCACGTCCTTCAATCACAAATTGCCTCTGTTTTGGTCTCCGATCACTCATCCTCTTGCCCTGGCTGTCAATGCATTCAGCCAGGACTAGACCAACAAATACATATATGTCTATCCTCCCATTCAACTTCTTCATTGGGTGATTTTGATCATCCATACCATCCCATGTCAAGTCCTCCTGATTGTTTCTTACTGGCAAGCTCAGCTTATGCAGCTTCTTCAGCTCCAACTTATCCCTCTGTTACCTCTTCCTCTGACTCCACCCCTTTTTCATCAACCTCAGTCACTGGTGCTTCATTCAGCCCTTCCTGTCCTCCTTCTTCACACCTGGTTTTTATCTGGTCCTTAGTAAGGAGATCCAACTTGTCCCGACAGATAACTACTTTTCTGGTTCATTTTATTCTCCCTTCCTCCATGGAAGTTTATCCTCGTAAATGGAATGTTTCTGCCTTTGGTATCTGGGTCAAGATTTTCCCCTGCTCAACCCACTGTTCCTCGTATTGTGGATTTCCTCACTTGGCTTTTCAGTTGGGGGTCTTCTGTCTCCTCGATCTCAAGTTATCAGGCGACCTAGTCCCACACAATCGTTTTTTCCAATACCGTAGGGTATTTACGTCTCCTACTCTTTCCCTGTTGATGCATTCCTTCCAGATTCATCATCTGCCATGGTGTGCTGCCCTTCTGGATTGGGATGTTAATTTGGTCCTTCACTGCCTCACGTTTCCTCCATTTGAAGCACTCTCCACGTGCCCCTTGTTTCTCCTTTCCCTTAAGACTTATTGCTTTCTCTTAGCTCGTGGATGTTGAAGTTCTGATTTATTTACCATTGATGTTTCACATACTCTTTATCATTCTACATATCTTCTCCTTTATCTGAATTGTTTCTTCGTCCCAAAAATGTTTTGCATATAGAGGGCAGCACTGAACGAGAATAGGTATTTATGTGAGAGGAGGTAAGTACCTATCAGAAATACATTTTCAATATAGGAAAATGATAATAAATGGTCAATAACAGTAATAATGGCTGTGTAGGGGGTTGTGAACCCTCTCATTAACATGTCTATTGATCCAAACTATCATCTCGCAAAGTTTGGTTGAGATTGGCCCAGCAACCTAGGAGTAGTTACATAATGGACAAACAGACAAGCACAGATTTTTTTTTGTGCTTTATATATATATAGAGAGATTATAAATATTGTATAAACAACCTAGTGTGAGAATATGTTCAAGATAAATAATTAAAAAAAAAGTTATTAGCTTTGAACCTTATGTATGATGTTTTTTTTACTGTTTTTCAAATACTTTTTGTCACTAGATATGCATGCATAGAAAGTTTTCTAAGTATTTGGGTTCAGAATGTTATTATAGAAAATAGAAAGAATGTTAGCAATTTGCTGTTTTCTTGAAATATTTTCAAATAGTGAATGATAATTTCTTTGTTCTATACAAAAAATGTAATTTCATTTAATCAACAGCTGGCAGCCCAAAAGCAAGTTCCCCTTCCAAAGAGTCAGGCTTCCTCCACTGCCCTTAAAAGAGGGAGAAAAATTAGAATTAACAGAAGGACAGGAGGTTGAAGTAAGGGCTTTTTTGTCATTCTTTTTTTGATCTAAAAGTTATTGTGCTAAATTCTCAAATATTATAGCCTAAAAATTGCATTGCATTGTATTGTGAAAATTTGTCATACATTAATAAGTCATGTTGTTTTTAAAAATATGAAATTTTAGACAATGCATATTACATATGATTTTTATAAAGAGGGATTTCTTCTACAGTTTGAGTGAGATAGTGGCATTAAATTAACTATACATACACTTGCAGAAAGTGTAATTACTTCAAATAGTGATTAAAAATACTCTGTTATAAGTCAATTTAATTAGTAGAATTAAAAAAGAATATTTAGAGGTTTATAAAAGTATGCAATGGTTTTGTGAACTTAACTATTTCAGAAGAAATGAGATTGTATAATTAAAAATGTTGGTACTGTATCTTGAATTTATACATGCAAGTAAATATCTGTGCTTCCTTTGAGAAAAGGGTATTATAATGAACATATGATGAAAATTAAGTCAGGATTATTAAAATAAATTTAAATTTTTTTGAATATTTAGATAAACTCCAAGAAGGACTGTTATTTGGAACAACTTTCAGATGTTGTTGGAATAAGTTCAGTATCAGTGTAGACAACAACACTAAATATTTTTGTAATTAAAGTATTAAAATCAAAAATGATCTAAGTAAATACTTTACCAGGTTATCCTGTACACAGAATTAAAACCTAAAGAAGTGATTATCGTAATTTAGTAATTTACTGTAATTTAGTAGTGTGTGTGATAATTTATTACTTTTGAAGTACAGTGTGGAGGAAGGGTGGGAAGTATGAGCGGAGGATTAGCTTGTTTGAGAATTAAGTTTATGTAATACATTAGTATTCTTAAAGGTCTATAGAAAAATGTTTTGCATGAATTGTCATTACATCAGTTTCATAAGTGAAGTGCATGTAAAATTAAACTGTGTTTCTAGGTCTACTCTAGGGCCAATGAACAAGAAGCATGTGGTTGGTGGAAAGCTGTGGTAAAAATGACCAAAGGAGATTTCCATGTGGTAGAGTACCTGGGGTGGGAAACTACTTACACAGAAATTGTTCCTAGTGACAGACTGCGCCATAAAAATACTAAGTAAGTAAAGAACTGTGATTGTTTTGTTTTGCTGTATTTGTAAATGTACAGTTAGAAAATTATAAAGCCTACTCCATGACTAGTTTTGGTGCTCAAGTCTCTGTAAAACATTTAATTCTTGCCATGTTAATATGCATTCTGTTTTTTTTTCTTTTTAAGTTACTTGTTTGTAAGTTTTTGTTGAAGTCCTATAAAGATTATTGAATATTCAAATAATTTTCTTGTTTTGATTTTATCATTTAATGTAAATTAAGTTTAGTAAATAAGTTATATGAGTTTTAGCTAAAAAAAACTTTTTTAATTAACTAAATTTATGTTCATCTTAACATAACATAACTTGGAGACACTTTTCTTTGATTTAGAGAAGGGTATTTTATCACATGAATTGGATTTCTGGCATTTCATTTGGGCATTTTGATATTATGTTTTTTGATCTTCATTTTGTTTGAGAATGAGTTTTGTAGTAATTCTATGCTACGGTCATACGTTATCTTGTTTGATCTCTTTCTCTCTTTTTGTGCTGCAATTCAACTCTAACTGATTGAATGCTGCCTTTAACATTTGAGTCTGTATGGAAGAAGGATATGGAATCTTTGGTATGCAGATGATACTGTATTTCTGGCAGAAAACAGAGTTTAGAGGAAATGGCTGAAGTGAAGGAACAAAATTCTGAGGTTTCGGACAGTAATCAGCAAGAAAATATGCTAGTTCTGAAGATTAATGGCCAGAGAGACAGTCTAGAGGGAGATTCTCTTGAAAATGTTGAGTTTCAAGTATCTTAGTGCATTAGTTGGGATAATTGCTGGCTCTGTGAGAAAGATTCATAAAACATTTGCAATGGAAAGGGATGTGGCAGGCAAGCTGGCAAACAACTGGACAATGAAAGACATATAGCAATGATGTAATGGTTAAGGTAATGAAAGAATTAGTGTGGAGTATAGTTTTTTATGAGTGTGAAAGCTAGACTCTGAATGAGAATAAACAGGTGACAGCATTTGCTGGAAACAGGTACTTCAAGTGTGCTGAAGAGATGGGAGAACTAACAATTAGGTGAGAGAGAGAGATGGTAGAAATCCTGGAAGAGTAAAGTTTGTTAACTGAAGTGAAGAAAAGGAAAATAGTAAGATACACTTCCTGGAAAAGAAGCACAAGCTTGGTACTGATCACAGTTGAAGGGATGGTGGGTGGCAAGTATAAACAAAGGAGAAAAATATGGATGGGATAATGTAAGAAGTGAACTGGGAGGAATTTCAACAAAATAGGACAAAGAGCTGTAGTGAGAGGACTTATCTGAGGAGACCCTACACTCACTTAGACATATATGATCAATTAAATTTTAATTCCAGTTGCATCACCAATTTTGGGCATTCTAACTCTGTTTGACAGAAGACTGATCTGAGCTTGTATTGAATATGTATTCCTTGAAGTGTACAAGTTGTGTGAAATCATTTAGATGGGCTTTTCTTTCCATCCATCCAGTAATAAAATTCCCACTTTTCTTGTAAACAGCAAGAAACTTTAACAAGGTGGTTAGATTATTTGTCATAGAACAATAGCATTAGCTGTGTATCTTCAAAATATATTAAAGTAAGTAAAGTGACAACTTGAACATCTCAGCAGACCACATAAAAACAGGGTAATTTAACAAAAGAAAATAAGAGCATAAAATACATTATGATGATAATACTAACCACAGACTTTTCTATATTTAATATGATGGGTGTGCCTAATTGTGTATGTAAAGTCCTGTAATGTTTGGTACAATGTTTGTCAGTTTTAGCTTCAGTTCAGGTTCAGCATTGATCATTCTCCTGTATCTAAACATCAGGAGCACATGTGATAAAAATCAAATGTAGCAAATGGCATCACAAAACAAACTGCTTTCTCTGCAAGTTCTCAGAATCCAAAACTCTAATAGTGGATTTTTCTTAAACTCTGACCTGAATGTTTCATTGCACAAAAGTTGCAACAAGTGCTCTTCTTCTTTCATAGAGAAACCAGCAGGCAGTTCATTATTTGACAATGTGTGAAAACTCACCATTAAAGAATTTGTTTTCCTACTTTTAACTCAAAAGCTGCATAAGTAGATTTCTAGGCTTTTCCAGTTTATTTATACATATTTTACCTGGTTATGTACCAGAATTTTTAAGGTCTTATGTGTTGGGTTTGCTTCAAGATCTACAGACTGTGTCTTTCCATAATTATGAAACCTTTCCATAGATCACAGCTTAGGAACCTCTGATCTAAATCATCTTTGGAGATTTTTGCTACAAAGGCAGTACAAGGAACATTGTAGACTGTTGGAGACCTTTATTGACTAACTTAGGCTAAGAAAGATAATACTTTTGCAATGTACATACATTTTAAGAGGTACCAAAACTACGCTGGTAAATAATATAATGTGTACAAGCTTATAAAATCTGGTATGTCTTTACAAATATTAAAAAAAAGGTTACAGTATGCTACAGTAATTTATAAAATTTAAGTTTATGTACTATCTTGTAAGTGCAAAGGCATTTTCTTCAAGATTAAATGAAAGAGAATGTATATATATATATTTCTAAGAAATTGTGTCTTATTTTACAGCCCTCCAGTCACAAAGTGGTCATTTCATAAATTTGAAATAGATGTACCGGAAGACCTTCGGGAACAGTGAGTAGAACATGAATTTAGTAGTTTGACTTGTACATAAAACTCAGTAAGATAAGTTTGTTTTCTTTTTCATTAATTATATCATGCTTTGAAAGATGACGATAAGTTATTTTATATCATAAAGTCCTTACCATTGATACATATGTTCACTTTTAAAATATAGGTAAAAACCAATATTTATGTCTCTTTCACATTTTATGACATTACTAGAAAATATTCATTTATTTTATACTTATTTTTTTTATAAAATATAATTCTTTATGTTTTCTTATTGAATTTTATACAAGGATGTATTTTGTTTAAGTTTGGTTCTGTTCCCAAATTTAGTTTAAGAGTTAATATTGTTCCATGTCATTTCCACAGCTCTAAAATAGAAAATGCTCATAAAGAATATAAGAAGGCCATTGGTGCAGACGTTGTTACGTATAATGCAGAAAAGAATGTTTTAGTGATAATTGTAAGTAGATCAAATTTTAGTATATCCCTAATTGGAAATTGGGTGAATCCTTGTTTTGTGTGAAAGTTTTATCTATTTTGTAGTTTGTAATTTTAATTACTTGATTAATTATATGGAAAATGACAAAGTTTTGAAATTTATCATAAATGATTTATTTATCAGACTTGTAAAAATAGACCCTTTTATACCTGCCTAGTAATACTTTAAAATATTTGAAATAAATACTAGTTAGGATATTTTTTGTATGCTTGTATGCAAAATACCTAAATGAATGTAAAATACTATTGTTAATCAGTAAAAATTATATTGTTATGATTACTTTGTAAGCAGTGGTAGATTAATGAAAGGGCAGGTGAGGTTGCTACCCAGGGGTCCTAAGGCAGATTGGGGTCCCAAAGGATGCTGTATGTCAAGAGTGTTGTTGAAAAAGGAGAAGGATTATTAGAAATGAAATTAGTTTTTGAAAATGCTTATTTTAAATTTTATTGTAGTTATGAATAACTTTCTTCAAGCAAGATTTATGTTGTTAAAATAGGATTAACAATTAAAAATGTACATATACAGAAAAATATAATTTAATTATTAATATATACACATCTGTAGACCAAGTATGGTCTACATGGTGTATATTTAACCATGAAGTAATGTTTGTCTTGTACAACAAAAATAATATTCATGAGGGGGGTCCCACATTATTCACTGTTCTGAGCCCCTGAGGTGTCTTAATCTGCCATTGTTTTTAAGGCTTATGCCTAACTTACAAATAAAAGTAAACCTCTAAAATATCAGCTTCATAACAACAAACTTTAACCTGTGAAATCAAGCTTGACCTACAAAGAGACAGAAAAGTGCAGTCAAGGCAGTCAAACATCAGTAACTTCCTTTCTGAACCAATCAAAATTAAGATCATTCACGAAATGAATTTGTGGCGTATTCATAGAATAATTATTGTAAAAATCAGTTAGATTAACAACTTCAATTATATAGAAAAGCCAGCATGTTTTGGTAACATTATGTTCCAACAATAGCTTATATGTCATGTCGCTTAGCAACAAAAGTATAACCTAATATTGTTGGTCTATATACTGAAACTATAAAATGAATTATGTAGACAACAAAACTGGAAAAATATTTGTTGATTTCTTAATTTAAAGTCTCTGTTGATTAAAAAGTTTTGTTTTGTTTTTAAATGTTGGTGATATAACAGAAAATAGCTTAATTCAGAAACAATTTAAGTTTGGAAATTGAATCAATATTTTTACTTTCATGATAAATTTTATGCACTTGGCTCTTGGCTAGGTAATCCCATTCTACGTCTTTACTTTAGGCTTATACCAACACTCACTACACTTATAAAGTTTCATGGCACACACATCCCACTGTCCCCTTGCACCCTCCATCACTGAAATCATAATGGACAGACAATAATCGAACTATTCTATTTGGATAAAAACATTTTGGCTTTTACGACTCCTATTTCAAGAAATCAAGTGTGATGTGACACACACTGGCTTTTATATAGGTTAGATGTTTCACTGGAAGGGGGAATTCTTGGAAGGTCTCCAAACAGTAATGAAATACATCTGCAACTACTTGGACCATTTGAGCCAACAGTCTATATTAGCTGCTCACAGTTTCTTGTATAAGAGCTCTTAAAAGTTGAGAATTGTAACCGCAAGAGGGTCATGTGACAGCAAAAACTGCAGTTTTAATTGCTGTTTTAGATGTGTTTTTTTTTAAATAAAGAAATAAAACTTAGATACTATAAAACTTTAAATTATAACATACTTGATGATAGTAATTTCATTAAGATACATTTATAGTAAAGTGGTTTAATTAAATTTTGAATGTAACTCAGTAACATGTACAGAATGGGGTTTAAAAATGGCATTGTTTCTATCAGGTTAAAGAGGTACTTGAGGTATTCCTGTAGTTTTACTCTTGTCCTTTAGTAGTACCAAAGAAAACAGGAAATTGGTATTAGATTTTTCCCATCTCAATCATTATTTCAACATTTTTTCTTTCCATATGGTACCTATGTGAATCATATGCAAGTTCTTTCATCAGCGTTATTGGATGATGGAAGTGTATATCAAAGATACATATGTACATATTAAAGTTCACAAGTCTTATTTTCTGTTACCGTGTTTTATATATCATGGAATAGTTTATCAGTTCAAGGCCTTCCCTTTCAGTCTGGCTTTGGCTCCCTGTGTCTTCTACATACAATATATCAATTTTCATCATTACATGGACAGTTCGATCAGGACACACAGAAGTGTGTTGTGTGGCTAAAATAACATGTACGACACACTGTGTGTTATTAACGGGAGTGATAATTTATCAATTTTCCAATTTCTGTAGCCCAGACTGTGGTAATCCAAATTATCACATATTTTCAGTGGCTGTGCTCAACTAGACCCTTACTTTACATACCAAATTTCAAAGCAATCCACTAAGAAATACACAAGACATATAATCTCCAATTTTCATTGAATTTCTTCCTTTTTTTTTCTTTACACCGAAGGTATGGAAAATTTATTTGATAGAAAAACATACTTAACTGTCATGGATTATTGTGAAATTTTCTACACTGATAGATCTTTGCAATATACAATTATATGCCAAATTTGGTCTAAATATCAGCCAAATGTGCAAAGTTATTAAACAAAACCACTCAACTTTGACCTACATTTTTGTACATCCCCTTGCAAAAAAAGTCACACGAGCTATCAGTCTAGAATTTTTACTACAGCTTCACATAAGATTAAAGGTGTGCCGTTTTTAGTTTTTTTGTTTTTCGGATTAAAGACGACTGTTTTACAGCAGTAAAACTATAGGGTGAAAGAATATGCAGATTCAGAATTATTGGTTAGACCAAGCAAACTAGATTAGCAGTTTCTGGGTAAAGTTTTCAAAATAATTGTACAAGTTATTATTCATTGCCAACTTTTAAGCAAAAATTTCATAAATTTTACGAAATTCTCTTAAATAGAAGTATTTAATATCACATGATATTAGCTTAAGCAATTAACATAAATAATGATGCTTGATATGGTTGTATTGAGTGCATATGGATGATGAGAAGAAAATGTTAAGTTAGATTTCATGGTGGTACTATAAAGGAAGTTACTAACTCTGTTTTAGAGAGGAAAACTACCACCATATATTTTAAAGATTCTGGTTGGTTCTGGTTTCTCTTTACCTACTCCCCTATTCATTTTCTGCTTCTAAGCCTTGGATTTACAACTACTCTCCTTCTTCTGACCTATTGTTGGTGCCCCTGACCACCTTAGCCTTGGTGCACTTGATATTCGAACCCCCTTCTTCTTCCCATTATCCCCTTTCTTTCTTGTGTCTCACTCTCACAGTTTCCTTCTTCATAGAGGGATATCCTCTCTCCACTCTCATGCATGGAATTTGACCAATCTGCTGCATATAGGCCAGATTTTCCACTAATGGGTCATTATTCTTGTCATCATTTCACTGTATTTGTCTATCACCATTTGTGGTGGGTCTTTTATCATGTCTCCTTCTACCATCCCCTTTTTTCTTAGCAGTAACTCTGTGCACCACCTTTCTGTTTCCTTCCTGACTGTTCATTGATGGATTCTTATGCTCAGCCTTTCTTAGTCATTGGGCAGCCCTGTCCCTGTCTGTGGCTTTATTCCTTTCCTGATACCTGGAGGTGTTTTTTTCCTGTTCCTTTCCATTCTTTTCCACTCCATCATTCTCCCTTTGTCCTCCTTTCCCAACTTCCTTGCCTGACAAAGACCTTATTGAGACTTTGCATGATCTCATGCATGCCCCATTTGAGCCACTGCACTTATTCCCTCTCCCCAGACTGATCCTTTCCTTCACTGATTTTGATTGCTTTGAAGGTACACCATACTTCTCTCCTACTTGTCCTTCTTCTTTCTGTCTCTTGTACCTGTGTCTTGTTAGGCTGTTCAGTGGGCCTTAACATGGATCTCTCACTTTAGGGGTCTCTGTCTTTGTCTGTACCTATTCTGGGGAATATCTATCCTTTTTCCTTTACAGGGTGAGTCCATTGACATGTTTGTCTCAGGATGTGGATACTCACAGACTATTTCTCTTTTATTTGCATTTGATTTGTTGCCTTTTCCTTCTCTCACGTCTCCGTCGATAGCCCTTGGATGAGCTACTCCAGGCAGGTATGTGAGAGATCTCTTCACACATTCATCTTCTTTCCTACACTTTCTGGCTATTTTATCACCTGATGATTTTTGACTTCTACAGGTCACCATGCTTCAATGACCCCATTGTCTTTGAGAACAATGTATACTATTTTTTCTTTCAGAGTCTTTCTTCCATAATATAGGATCCCACAAGGTGGCCGGTGTTGTCTCCCAGGGTATACTTACCCAAAATCTGCATCAAGCCAGGAGAACACACTCGTATCATCTTTACAGGATCTACATGTGCCCATTGTGAGATGGGGTGCTCCACAAGACCACTTGAGGTATCCTTGTGGTGTGTGTGTATGTATATTTATATGTATATATTCACTCTTATTATCTGATCCAGGCCATACTTATTCCATGGACTATCCTAAAAGAAGTCAGCACCAGGGAGGTATTCTGCCCATTTCTCTTGCTCATGCTTGGTGGTCTTTAAAGATATGGCTTTGAGGTCTT